GCACGTAAAACTTACGAATCGGTATAAATTTTCAGCTGCAGACGTTGTTGATAGTTTGCTTTGGATGTCTCCTCAACTGGACACCCTATCTTTTGGCCAGACTGGAGATTTAAAGAGCCTGATCAAGGTAATAAGTATGTGTTATCTTTCAAAGGCAATGACTCAGAAGTATGTATCAAAAGATTACTGGTCACTATGATTTCTAGCACTTATTTTCCTTTTTTACATGACCTTTTAGTGACAAATCCTTCATTATTGGTTTAAAATCTTTTATTCATGGTAAATAATTCACCTAACAGTCCATTTTTTAGCAGCTTAGCCAAAAATTAAAAGTTATAGCCGCTCGACACATGCAAAATTTTGATTACCTACAAACTAGTAGTGATACTCTGGCCCCATCGTGCATATTTAACTCTGAAATTTTTTTCCTCTTGTTTTGCGGTTTACATACGGAGATGCAGCTGATGAAGAAGATGAGAAACCTTGTTGTGCATCTCCACCTGTCATGATCCCAAATTCCCTCTGTAGGATGTTGTGATGGTACTTAGTCTTTAAGACTAGCTAAGCTTATCAATGCGAAATAATAATAAATAGGTGAAATAAATAAACTACAATTCAAACAATTTCAACTCCTAAAACCCGATAGAAATAAGTCACAAGCTTATAAGAATTTTATTCTCAATGTCTTTATATATCAAGGTCTAAAGAAAAATAAGGAAGCAACATAATAATGATAGAAGGGGACTCCGGAGTCTGCGGACGCTGACAGATATACCTCGAAGTCTCCTCGTACAGCTAGGTTACTAATGCCTGGTCTGATAAGATGTACCTGGATCTGTACAAAAAAATATGCATAAGCGTAGTATGAGTACACCACAGCGGTACCCAGTAAATGCCAATCCTAACCTCGGTAGAGTAGTGACGAGGTTAGGTCAGGCCCTACTGAAAAATAAATAATGGCATAGTAAAATATTTAATGATATAATAAGATAAAATGACAATGAAAATAAGTCAAGTAGTATGTCACCATTTAATTACACCAAATAATGGCAATTAATAATTCGTGAAAACAAAACCGAATTTCTTTTCAACTTTAAGAAAAATCACAACAAAAATCAAAGGCAACTGCGGCCATAAATCAATATCAACAAGGGCACTCCCGAGGTACCGCCCCGTAGTCCCAAATCATAAATAAATTCACAATATCTCATTTCCTTATCTCACCGCGGGAGCCTTCACAATTTATTTTAAAGAAAATATTTTTTCCGAAATAATATCCCGCGTTTTAGCCATCCTTATCACACCCCATGACTTCTAATAGTTCCTGCTACTAGCCACGCGTATCAAGCCACCCTTATCTCACCGCACGTGTTTCAATACCCAGATCTTATACCACCGCATGCATATCAACATCACAATATATCACAATTTGCACCTAAGTGCTCAAATAATTTAACTTGCCAAAATAATTCAACAACAATATTTTTTTCTACAATAAAGAGCTCACGACTCATGTCAAAATAATTCAACAATAATATTTTTCCATAATAAAGAGCTCACAGCTCATGTCAAATTAATTTAACAATAATAATTTTCCATAATAAAGAGCTCACGACTCCATCACAATGAGTATGAAAATCTTACAAAAATATTCAGGAATAAATAATTCAGCAAAATAATAATCCAAAATCTTTAATACGTTGCTTCAATACCAAATTTAAAAATGTCAAATACTTTATATTAATAATATTTAATTTTAAAAAAATCAACTTCAAATAATGCACAGAATAAAAGAAACCAAGTTCCAACTAAACAGATAAAATAATTAGCAGGAAAAGGTCAAAAAAAATTAAAATATAAACATTAAATCAATAATGAAGAATATAATAAAATAAAATAATTTAATTAATGTGCAACAATGATCTACACAATTTTAAAAAAAAAATATAATCTTTTACATTTAGCCTGTGTACACACTCGTCACCTCGTGTACACGACTTTCCATACATTACAATTATCAATCCTAGGGAGAATTTTCCCACATAAAGTAAGACAAGTCACTTACCTCGACTTGCTTTAATTTAACCAAGTAGTATGCCTTATCCTCGATTTTCTGACTCCGATCGACTCGTATATAGTCGTAATTAATTCGATACAGTCAACAAAAATTATAGGAATCAATTTCATAAGAAAATACTATATTTTTTAATAAAATCCGAAATTAACTAAAACATTTCCATAGGGCCCACCTCTCGGAATCCGGCGAAGCTTATAAAATCCGACAACTCATTCAATTACGAGTCCAACCATACCAGTTTTACTCAAATCCGACACCGAAATCTCAAAAAATCGTTTTTATGAGATTTCTAAAATTTTTCCAAATTTTCATCTCAATACACTAATTAAATGGTGAAAATAATGATATATTCGTGTATATTGACCAAATTGTTTGAATCACTTACCCAAATGTTTCTCCTTGAAAATCTGCCAAAATTCGCTTATGCTCAAGCTCAAGTTCGTCAAAAATGGCAACTAGGGACGAAATCCCCAGTTTAATAAATTGTCGAGGCTGCCATCGATCCTGGGTATCGATTATGGCTTCGATCTTTATGGCCCACGATCCTGGCCTTGGTAATAGCCCTCGATCCTGGGCCTCGAGCTGGGCATTCGATCATGCATTTGATTCTGCCTTCGGTCATGGCTTCGATCCAGCCTTCGATCATGGCCCTCGAGCTGGGCCTTCGATCCTGCCTCTGATCATGGCCCTCGAGTTGGGCCTTCGATCCTGAGCCTCGTCCCTGGCCTTCAACCGTGGGCTCGATTTCTGCAGTTACAGCAGAAGAAAATAGCAGCAGCTTTTTAAGTCTAACTTTTGATCCGTTAACCATCTGAAACTCACCCGAGGCCCTCGGGACCTCAACCAAATACACCAACAAGTCCTAAAACATCATACGAACTTATTTGAAACCTCAAATCACATCAAACAACGCTAAAATCACAAATCACGTCCCAATTCAAGCTTAATGAAACTTAAGAATTTCCAACTTCTACAATTCGATGTCGAAACCTATCAAATCAAATCTGATTGACCTCAAATTTTGTACACCAGTCATAAATGACATAACGAAGTTATGAAAATTTTTGGAACTGGATTCCGACCCTGATATTAAAAAGTCAACTCCCTGGTCAAACTTTCAAACTTTAAATTCTTATTTTAGTTATTTCAAGCCTAATTTCACTACGAACTTTCAAATAAAATTTCGATCACGCTCCTAAGTCCAAAATCACCATATGGAGCTATTGGAATTATCAAAATTCTATTCCGGGGTCGTTTGCACATAATTTGACATTTGATCACTATTTGAACTTAAACTTTTAATTTTTCATCAAAATTCTATATCTCGGGCTAGGGACCTCAGAATTTAATTACGGGTATACGCCCAAGTCTCAAATCACGATACGGACCTACCGAAACTGTGAAAACACGGATCTGAGTCTCTTTGCTCAAAATATTGACCAAAGTCAACTCAGTTGAGTTTTAAAGCTCTAATTCACATTTTAATCCATTTTTAACATAAAAACTTTTCGAAAAATTTTACGGACTGTGCACGCAAGTCGAGGAATGATAAATAGCACTTTCGAGGTCTTAGAATACAGAATTAATTATTAAATATAAAGATGACATTTTGGGTCATCACACTACCTTGGAAATATTTTTTTTTGAACCCCAGGAAAACTCCCAGCCGCTATAGCCTCTGTCCTTCGGGTGAGCACTCTGTGCACACTGGGTAAACCCCCACTATGTAATAGCTTTCAAACCACACAGAAAATATAAACTGCACTAGGCAAGCCCTGTGCGACAGGCTCGAGCCATAAGGCATTGAGGGGGGATCGATCTCAGGTCATCTATATGGATGACCGCCTTCCAAACCAACTGGTCCATCCCCGAAGTGATACCTTGGAAATGTTGGAGACACGAGTTAAATAAAGTTAAGTTGCAAGACTTTACATGTATAGAGCTGTGGAAATTGAGAAACTGCTTTCTCACTAATTCAAATATATTGGAGGAGATAATTGAAGAACCACCATATCGCAATTCACCTAATTTCATGCATTGAAAGCCATTTGGGTTTCTTTGAGAAGATAGTGATTGTCATTGTGTGTAGAACTATTTTCTAAGGGTGAAATTAAACTTTCTCTTTTCATGCGAGACATTGGAGATAATTGAAGGTCCACCAGTTTACATATTACCTAATATTATGTCTTGCAGATTATGTTGGTGACAGGTTTCGATGATATGTACTTGTTGGGAAGAAGAAACCAGAAACCATATCCTAATTCTAACAATCTGTGGAGATTTACTTAGAGATAGAGAATAAGGGTGAAAAAGAAGAAGAAGGGTGAAGAATGTCGTGCATATTATGTGTTTAGAATATAGTGGAACATAATTAATGGGTTAGGGGACATAAATTAATGGGGTTAGTAAGATGATTATAATATAAAGAGACATAGGTTAGTGGATTAGTGTGGGAGGAATAAATATATATGTCAAGTGTATAATATATACATGTACAAAGCTCAATGTAAAGAACACACGGGAGATTGGTTTTTCAATCAGATTTTTTTCTTTCAATTTCGTACATGGTATCAGAGCAATAATCTCGATCCAACAGTCCAACCATCAAATCAATTTACATCAGATTCATCATCAAAATCAGTAATCTAAAATGTCTGAAATAACCATCACGTATATTGGTGATACGAGCAATGCTGCAAAACCAGTCAGTTATGATGTCAATCACCCTTATCATCTCAACAACTCTGATTCACCTGGAATGACTCTAGTCAACACTATGTTTAATGGAAGAGGATACCCAGGGTGGAGGAGATCTATTCTCCTGTCTTTGTCAGCCAAGAAGAAACTTGGTTTCATCAATGGAGCATGTCTATCTCCAGATCTGAAATCTCCAGACCATGAACAATGAAGTTGTGTGAATGACATGGTAATCTCTTGGATCCTAAATGCTCTCTCAAAGGATATTACAGACAGTGTGATGTACTCCAAAACTGCAAAAGAACTTTGTGACAGCTTGGAGCATAGATTTGGGAGATCAAATGGAGCCAAGCTTTATCATCTGCAGAAGGAATTATCAGGTTTAGTACGGGGAAACAGTGACATTGCAGCATACTTCACTAAGCTCAAACGATTGTGGGATGAATTAGATGTTTTAAATGTTATCATATGTTGTTCATGTGTTTGTGTTTGTGAAGGAAAGGCAAAGTTGACTAAGTCTCTTGAGGATCAGAGATTGATCCAATTCATAATGGGATTAAATAACATCTATGCACAAGTAATAGGAAATATCCTCATGATGAACCCTTTGCCTAGCATAGATGTTGATTATTCACTTCTCTTGCAAGATGAAAATCAAAGAGAAGTTTATGCAAATGCATATTTTAATTCTGAATCAGTATCATTCATGGCAACTGGAGAGGCCAAGCAGCCTAATGCACAACTTCTAGCTGATTTTGCAGCTTTTATGATCATAGGACAAGGGAAGAATTATCAAAAACTTAGAAGTGTGATGACCCAAAATGTCATCTTTAAATTTAATAAGTAATTCTATATTCTAAGACCTTGAAAAGCACCATTTATCATTCTTCGACTTACGTGCACAGTCCGTATAATTTTTCGGAAAGTTTTTATGTGAAAAATGGATTAAAATGGGAAATAGAGCTTTAAAATTTAACTAAGTTGACTTTGGTCAACATTTTGAGCAAACAGACCCGGATCAGTATTTTAAAAATTTTAGTAGGTCCGTATCGTGATTTGGGACTTGGACGTATACCCGGAATCGAATTCCGAGGTCCCTAGCCCGAGTTATGGAATTTTGATAAAAAATTAAAAGCTTGAAAGCTTAATGATTTCTAAGAAATTACTGATGCTAGATTTGTTGACCTCGGGTCCGTATTTTGATTTCGGAGCCCGGTATAGGTCCACTATAATATTTATGACTTGTCTGCCGAATTTGGTGAGAATCGCAGTTGATTTGCTGTGATTCGTACGTCCGGTTGTAAAAATATAAGTTTTAAAGTTTTCTTGAAAACTTCCTTTGATTTGGTACTCGATTCGTAGTTCTAGGTGTTATTTTGGCGATTCGATTGCGCGAGCAAGTTTGTATGATATTTTAGAACTTGTGTGCATGTTTGGTTTGGAGCCCCGAGGGCTCGGGTGAGTTTCGGATAGGCTACGGGATGATTTCGGACTTAGGAAATCTGGTTTTCTGCAGACTTCAGGCTTCTGGTGTGTTCTTCTTCGCGTTCGCAAAGGTACTCTCGCGAACGCGAAGAGCAAATTGGGCTGGCACGTTTTGTGCTTCGTGTTCGCGACATAGTGACCGCATTCGCGGAGGCTTGAGGTTCAAAGCTTCGCCTTCGCGATAGAAGCCTCGCGTTCTCGGAGGGAAAGAGACTGGCCAGGAAAATTATCCTTCGCGTTCGCGAAGGCCAAGCCAGGCATGCATCGCGTTCGCGAAGTAGCCCTCGCATTCGCGAAGAGAAATTTGACAGCACATAATTGTGCTTCGCGAACGCGAGGCGCTGACTGCGTTCGCGAAGGGTAAAAATCCAAGAAACAAAACTTAAGTTGTGGAAATGGGGTTTCGACCCATTTTCAATTCTTTCCCATTTTTGAGCTCGGGTAAGGCGATATTTGGACGATTTTTATGGGAAAACATTGGGGTAAGTGTTCCTTATCCTATATTGATTATATTTCATGATTTCATACTCATTCATATCATGAATCCGTGAATTTATGGAAGAAAAATCAGATTTTTATAAAATCTTCCAAAAATGAAAATTTAAGATTTGAAGGTCCATGGAATTGGACAAATTTGGTATGGTTGAACTCGTATCGGAACGGGTGTTCGGATTTCGTGAGTTTTTCTGGGATTTGAGATGTGGGTCCCGCTGCCAAATATTTTAATGAATTTCAGATTTTTATCTGAAAAATTTGTAAATTCATATGGAATTAATTCCTATGATGAGTATTGAATATATTGAATTGTTTGTGAATAGATTTGAAGCTTTCGGAGGCAAATTTAAAAGAAAAAGCTGTGGTTGAATAATTGATTTAGAATTTACAAAGCGAGGTAAGTGTCGTGGTTAACCTTGACTTGAGGGAACAGAACCCTTAATTTATTTGTTATGTGAATTGCATGTGAACGACGTATAGGCGAGGTGACGAGTGTCTATACGTCGTCAAATTAATTGTTTGCCTGCCTACTTGAAAAAAAATCATAAATTATTTTTAATCATAAATTAATTATTATAATAATTATTTCTCTCTTATTTTTTGTCAAATATTAATTCTTGAATTCCTGCATTAATTGTTACATGCTATTTGAATTATGTGATTTAATTGTTATTTGATATTTAGCATATTAAATATTAAACTGTCTATTTTCTCCCTGATTTCTATAATAATTTGATATTTGTCATTGTTTGTTTTATAATTAAATCATAATTGTTGTATACTTGTTGTCTTATAATTTTATATTAATTGTTATATTTATTGGGAAAATTTCTTCTATAAGAATTGATTGAAATGGATACATTGGAGGATCGGGTTGCACGCCGCAACAGACTGATTAAAAGTTAATATTGGAGGATCAGGTTTCACGCCGCAACAGACTTGTGAAAAGTTAATATTGGAGGATCGGGTTGCACGCCGCAACAGACTGATTAAAAGTTAATATTGGAGGATCAGGTTTCACGCCGCAACAGACTTGTGAAAAGTTAATATTGGAGGATCGGGTTGCACGCCGCAACAGACTTATGAAAAGTTAATATTGGAGGATCGGGTTACATGCCGCGACAGACTTATTAAAAAGTCTATATATATACTTGATTGAAATAAATATATAATAGACTTGATTAAAATGAATATATTGGAGGAGCGGGTTACACGCCACAACAGAACTGAATATGAATAGGTTGTGAGAACGGGTTGCACGCTGTAACAGAATTGAATGTTAATATATGGTAAGAGCGGGTTGCATGCTGCAACAGAATTGATGGAAATGATAATTGGTTATGACTGCTGAGTTGTCTTCAATTATTATAAATGAATTACCTGATTTATTTCTATTATTGTTGTTGTTGCTAATATTGCGTACAGGTTAATGTAAGTGAACCGCCTTAGCATCGTCACTGCTTCGTCGAGGTGAGGCTCAGCACTTACCAGTACATGGGGTCGGTTGTACTGATACTGCACTTCTTGTGCGGATTTTGGAGTTGGTCTCAGCGGCGTACCATAGAGTTGTTCGGATTTTAGCTACCAGAGGAGACTTGAGGTATAACCGCATGGCGTCTGCAGTTCTGAAGTCCCCGTCTATTTTACTTTAGCTGTGTGTTTATTCCCAGATAACTTTATTTTATTCATACCTTATTTTTATTTATTCTAGAAGCTTGTGCACTTGTGACACCAATTTTGGGATGGTATTTTGACACCGTTATTTTTATGGATTATTCACTATATTACAAACTTTGCTTCCACTTTTGTTTCCTTGATTATTAATAATTTAAAAATTATTTTAAAAAAATTAGTTAATATTACTCTAACATTGGCTTGCCTCGCAAGTGAAATGTTAGGCGCCATCACGGTCTGAAGGAGGGAATTTCAGGTCATGACAAGAAGCCAAACACAAAGAGGAGCAGCCATATCACCCAAATATAACAACTCACGACAAAAGTCTGTTAAACTTCAGCAAAGGTTTAAAGGGAAAAAGAAGTACAATCCAAATGTGTCTTGTACTTATTGTTGAAAACAGGACATACAAAAGAAGATTGCTATAGAATTATTAGATTTCCAAAAGATTTTGAGTTCACCAATCACAAAGGTCATCAGACTCAAATTAAAGAAAATGCAGTCCTGACACATAAGGAACGTGAGAATTCAGCAGGACAAAGCACTGAGCTCAACAACAGTAACTTTAGACAGCAACTCAGCAAGTTACAGATTGCATAAATGATGCACATGTATAAGCAGGCAAAGTTAGCACAGGCAGGAAATTCTGCGAGAAAAGGAAGGTTTTATTGTAAGCTAAAGGATATTTACCCAAGATATGCTGGAGGAATTTGATGTATCTCATTTGCCTCGAGTCAGTTCTCCTCTTTATCCTTCCTCCAAGCTTCAAGATAATGATGGGCACCCTTTGCAATATCCAACGATATTTCGTCATCTGGTTGGCAAGTTGAACTATCTCACTAACACTCGCCCTGACCTTTCTTTCGCAGTCCTTACCCTCAGTCAATACATGCAGAGACCATGTATGTCTCATTTCTCTGCTGCCTTACGAGTGCTCAAATATTTGAGCTGTGATCCAGGACAAGGAATTCTTCTCTCAGCAAAATACTCATTCTCCTTGCTTGTATTTTGCGATGCTGATTGGGCCTCTTGCAAGGATTCTAGGAGATCCGTAAGTGGATTTTTCATCATATTAGGATCATTTCCTGGAAATTAAAGAAATAAGTGTCAATCTCTCTATCTTCTGCAGAGGCAGGATACAGATCGATGAGAAGAGTAACTGCAGAACTTGCATGGTTAGTTCGACTTCTTGAAGATCTCTCTACACCGGTAAATCTTCTCATACCTCTTCACTCTGACAGCAAGGCAATCATTCACATCGCATGTAACCCCGTCTTCCACGAACGCACAAAACATGTAGAAATTGACTGTCATTTTGTGCGTCAACAGTTCCTTTCCGGTTTAATTACTCTTTCTTTTGTTCCATTTAAAGACCAACTGACGGATCTCTTCACAAAGCCACTTTCTGGGGTTTCTCACTCCGAGATTTTGAGCAAGTTAGGGGTCACAAAGTTACCCTCCAACTTGAGGGGGGATGTTGGGAAGAAGAAACCAGAAACCATATCCTAATTCTAACAATCTATGGAGATTTACTTAGAGATAGAGAAGAAGGGTGAAGAAGAAGAAGGGTGAAGAATATAGTGCATATTATGTGTTTAGAATATAGGGGGACATAATTAATGGGTTAGGGGACATAAATTAATGAGGTTAGTAAGATGATTATAATATAAGGAGACATAGGTTAGTGGGTTAGTGTGAGAGGAATAAATATATATGTCTTTCAATTTCATACATATGTCCTAAGAGCAGGTTGTATACAACAACAACAACAACAATAACCCAGTATAATCCAACTAGTGGGGTGTGGAGAGGGTAGTTTGTACGCAGACCTTACCCCTACACTAGGGTAGAGAGACTGTTTCCGATAGACCCTCGGCTCCCTCCCTCCAAGAACTCCCCACTTTGCTCTTGGGGTGACTCGAACTCACAACCTCTTGGTTGGAAGCGAAGGATGCTCACCACTAGAGCAACTCACTCTTGTCAATATGAATATTCATGTGGATAATATGAATATTTATATTATCCGTATTAAATATGGACAGTTGGATATTTTATCCATTTTCGCCTATCACATTTTCTGCCCACCCATATACGACTTGACTCGCCCGTTTGCAAACCCTAAGTAAAACTATTTTCAAAGGGTGAAACATTCTCTCTTCGCACGAGATTAGCTGAATATTCTTTTCTATTTACCTCCACTGGCCAGCTTTCTCAGTATTTTATATGAGACTAAAAACTTGTTATTCTAATTAAATATACAGGGATAAAGAGCAAAATTCTGACTCTCTGACTTGTTTCGTTTGGATGTTTCTCTTTCATCTTTGGTTTCTAGTTTGCATCTTGGTTGGAATGTCCTGCTTCCTCCCCTGCCCCTGTTAATTTCAGGTATTTAATACTTGAATTTTACGCAGGTTGAGACTATAAATTCTTTGATATCCTCTAGAGATACTTTCTCATTGAGCAAAATATTATTATTAAACAAATTTTTTGGGATATAAAGAGCAAAATAGATATATTGAGATAACATTACAAGAGATTCTATGTAGCTGCTCAATCACTTTTCAAGAATTATATATATTGCTTAAGAAGAAATAGTTGGTTTTTTAAAAAAAACAATCTGTAATTATTGACTCTGTTGCATCTCTTGTGAAATCGTTTTTTTTTTTCAATTTCCTTAGTAGGCTTTAAAATATTTTACGACCTTTTTGGTTTGAACTATATATGACGTAATTTACTACTCCTACTACTATTTATTTAGACTAGTATCTATGAACAACGCACGTTAATAATGGTACGTGATGATTTAAATATTTATTTATATGAATGAACAATAAAATTTAATTAATGAGAGAAAATTTATGTTTAATAATACAACAATCATCTAAATGCCGAAAAATATTATTACATTAGCATAATACATGAATTTAAAATAAAAAAATATCATCAAAACTTACATAAATGATCAATTTTGTCATGCTAGCTAGATAATTATGTATTATAGTTTAAAAGTATTTAATGTGATGATATCTTAACGAACTCTTCTTTGTGGATAATATTTTGTGTGTATGTTTCCTCCTAATGTTTTGGTTGCTCTGCCTTAACCAGAACTCTTGTTGTCGATCTTGATATCCCTCTTGAAAGTGCAACATACAGTTATTCGTGCAAGAAAATATATTGCGGTAAATATAGTCCAATATTTAGGATGTTTGTCCTTGTACTTTATTTATTATATTTGCAAAATATAAACATACTAAAAATTATTTTCACACAAATTTAAAAAGATATTCCTTAGTTTCGGAAGACGGAAGTTGAATTCAGGGATAAGCATATACTTAAAAGCACATTGACCAGTATCATAATTTTTGCATGTATGACGTTATTGTCAAAATTTCTATATACCATCTGTGTGCTATTACATAAACTATTCTGCGTATCTAAGTTTTTCAGTAGCATGATGAGAATATTTTTCTTCAAAATTAATCTATATACAATGAAAGATCAATTTTAACTTAGTCTATTATATATACGGTGATACTAACATATGTAAGAAATAATAAACTTGACAACAAACACGTATGGTAGAAGGCCATTTGGTAGTAAAAGTATTTATTTTGGTAGTAATTATTGGTATCATTTTCTGCTGAGTCAAAAGCTGACAAATATTTTATTTTTACTATAAAATTTTGCAATCAATCTTTTATTTAGTTGATCAATATATTCATTTCCGCTAGCTTAGATATCTTTTTAACTTTATTGTGCGATTTGCACAAATTACGTTTTAATCTAATGATAGAAATATTTTTCTTATTAAATGCACTACCATTACCATTGGGATTGATAGCCAAGTGTTCAGGAAGAACTCAATCATCTTTTATTGGATGCTCTTCTTCGTTTCCGACACGAAGCAAGAAGACACTGAATACTGGATCTGTTCTTACTTTATATTTTTTGTTAGCTGAATCTTTTTCATTTGAGGCCAAAAGTATAACTTTGGCAAGATAGCTTTTACAATCTCTGCTTTTGTCGATTTTAGAACTACTGGTAGTACTTGACATAAATCACCTCCCAAACCATTAATTTTTCACCAAACGATTCATTGATATCCAATATATCTCTAGAACTCCGGGCAATTATTTCGATCGTTTGACACTTAGCCATATGTGATTCATCCCATATTATCAATTTTGCTTTCCTTATAAATTTAGCACCATTGCGCTACTTTGATATATTTATGATATTTATTTAAGTTGTTTGAAGATATTATCAAATCTAAAGTCGATGGCCTCACAATAAAATTATTGTTGGTACACCACTTGCTATTATTGTTAATAGTATCATGCTTCTAAATATGATATTTGCAAGTAATGCATGACATAGAAATATTATTTCGATCCCGCCGGAGGCATCCACAAAGAATAATCCCGTTATACCAAAGTCGACTCTTTATAATATAGTCTTGAAAGATTGTTCTTGATTAGGATTTAGCTTTGATTGTGCTTCCTCAAACACTTGTATAGCATTTTAATTCTTAATAATATACTATCATTTTTACTTTGTGTTCTAACGCTCTTTTTATGGAATAAATTTATGTATCCTAAGATTTTTTTTTAAAACTTGAATAAGAATTTTACTCATATGATGAATCGAAAAAATAATTGAATTGGATTCTCTTGCTACATAATTAATTTAAAATTTTAATTATTTAGTTTTAACATAAAAAAATGATTTATTTTATGTTGATTCTGATCTTAATATTAGTTCATCTCTTGTTTAGAATATTTAATCTTAATTATAATTTTATCCACCATAAATTTATTTTCAAAAACTAAAAGATTGATATGACATTTAACTTTTAGATCGTTATGTTTGTAGAATCATTAGTGGTATTGACTCTTACCATCCATTTTTTTTCTCTTTAACACATTCATATTCTTAAATATTTTCTTAGTTGTTGTTTAATAATTGGGTATTTTTCAATATTACACGAAAAATTAATTTAAAAAATATTATTCGAGTAGGAAAATAGTTTTAAAATATATTAACGTGGGGGTATCTTTTTCTCAATTTCAACTCTTTATGTAATTTATTTAATATTACTATTATTTTTTCTTGGTATTGGACATTATAGAGTGGTAATGTATTGCCAATGCCGAGGATTCTTATGAAATTAATTTTATTAAACCTTCCTACATATTTTTAATAAGAATTTAATAGACAAAATTTTATTAATTATAAAATTTTAAATATTAAAAATTTGCATAGAAGGTATTGTAATCCAAAAAATAGGTTATTACATTTATGTCCTTTCCCTATGAGTTCTTGCGCTTAATATTTTAGGGCTATTTTGGTCTATAAATATTGTATTTATGCTATTATAATAATATAGGCTCTCCTTTTTCTAAATGAATTTGATCAATATACATTCTCAAATTAAATTAGTAGCGGAAAATTATAATACGTTTTTAAATTAAATTAGTAATATAAATTTTTAAGAAGTATATTCTAAAAGTAATAGGATTACATGCTAAAGATATTTACTTGTTCAATTTTATATGAATTAGATATCCCAAAATTAATTATACTAATAAGATTCCTAAAGGTAATTATGTAAGATTCCTAACGTGTAGTATTATGTCCTAAAACTAATAGGATTATAAGGCTAATATCTAGAATTACGGTTATGTCCTTTTATTATGAGTTATTATGCTTAATATTATGAGATTATTTTTGTAAACCGGTATTGTATTCATGCTTTGTAATAATATAGATAGACAAAAATGTATCCATCTATTGTGTATAATTTTATTAGTTTTATTAAGACATCTCTTATAATTGTGACACTTTTGTATAATGACTAGGTCTAGGACAGGGTAGTTACTAGGGAAACTATCAGCTATGCCCATTTATAAGTAGCTTATTATAAAAATTGGCTAATTCATAAAATATCATTAATATTAGCCAAGTGTTACCAATATTAGCCAATTAGTTTTTTTGTAGCTAAAAAGGTCAAACTTTTTTTTTTGAGTGGGTGTTCTTAAAATAGATTGGGTACATCTTAAGAAGTTTGAATTTTCAGTTTTGGGATTGAGATTTTAAAAATTCAAAGTGGAAGATGAACATGAAAAAAATGAATTGCGTATCACATATGTATCATATTTGTATCAAATGTGTATCAGATATATATTCATATATACCTGTGTGTGATACATGTTTGATACATGTGTCGCAGAAAAAAATTTGAACTCGATTTTAATTGCGAAATTTAATACCAAATCAATCGAAATCACCTCCAATCTTCCTCAATTTTTGTATATTGACTCATCTGTATGTTTTCAATGAATTTCAACCATACACATTGGAAAATGTCATTTTTTGCTTAGATTTTTGGAATTTTGTATGTATATTTTTTTGTATTGTATCACCTTATTTGCTACCTCATCCATGAAATTTCCTTTCCGTCTTGCACAGAATGTTGTTGATCACGCTTAAAAATATGAAAGAAAATCTTTGTGTGTGATTCTTGGAGAGAAAGAACCTTGTTTATTTGAGTTTTCAATTTTTATATGTGTTTGACTAGTTTTGATAAGTGTATAATTAATGGCTAGAGATCGATAAGTAACTACCTATTTGGGATATTTGTGTAAGATTACCTAGTTACTAGTGTGTGTGTGTGTTATTTTTGTGACTTTAAGGTCGGCGACGCTTAAGTGAAGCGTATTACTCTTGAGTCTTGGTGCTCCTAAACTTTTAACTTACACAATTAGCAAATTTTGTACTATGAAAACAGAAGTCCAAGTATCAGCAATGACGAGCATGTTTGTTTGTCTCGTATAAATTATAATACACAATCTCTTTACCTCAAATTCAAATATGTGGGCGCAAAATGCTATTATTATTTTTCATAGTTATCTAATGTATCATGTCATTTATTATATTTTTTGTCTTTAATGATTTACACTCATCATCATCTTGCCGCTCCTACCAATATTTATTTACAATTAAGCAAAAAAAAGGTTCTAATCTACATAAGAAGCTCTCTTAATAAGCGAAACTTAGTTCATATGGCAGAGCACGAGAAGATTTATCATCAATATGATGATTGGAATGGAAATCAGAAATACGACTAGGATCATCGTGGTCCTTGATAATTATCTATTTGTTTTGCATTTATACCTAAAATTATTGTCATTTTATTTCGATCTTTTTCGCTTTCATCCAAACAATACGCACTAACCCACCTGAAATAAGGTAAAAGTCTCTTTCGGTCATTTTGTATGAGACTCCTCCTTCCTACATATGCCCGTAGTTGGTAAAATTTAGTTAGTTTAAGACAAATAGTAATAGTGTGGTGACTTACACTTGTAGCGGGTAAAATTAAATGATTTTAAGTAATAATAGAAAAACCTCGGTTATTTCAATATGATGTAAGATAACTTTGTGAATAAATTAATTTATAATGAATAAAAGTGAGTGACCATAAGTTCATAAGTGAAACTAATTCGAAGAAATATATCAATGTGATTGTAAAGGCTAATTAGAAGTCCAATAAACTACCAACGCCGAGAGCACCGATCTCGCTACTGCCGACTTCACGCAACGGGAACTTCCTTTTCCTATGGACATTGGCGTTCTATCCACAAACCAGGTAATTGTTTTTCACGCACAAAAGGAAAATATAAATCAATCCCCACTTTTTCTTTTGTCTTTCCTTTTTCTTATGGGGTTTTGGTTTTTACACTTTCGAAATCCGTTAACAACTTGGTTTTGGAAGAGAAAACTCCCTTTTCTTACACTTTGTGAATCCTCTGTGGCAGGTACCTCCTTTTGCTTAAGGTTATAGAAAATAATTTAGCGATAATGGAAGGGACGGATCAAATTTTCCAGTTGCCACAGCCAATTTTGGACCACATTCTGTCTTTTTTTGCTATTAAAGATGCTGCAAAAACTAGTACATTGTCCAAGGTTTGGAACAGTGTTTGGACTTCCCTTTCCTCCTTAAATTTTGGTGATAATTATTTTCGTCAGTCCAAAAATATTGTGGATCAAATTCTAGCAAATCGGCTAAACCAGAACATCTCTATAAAAAGGTTCAAGGTAAATGTACCAAATTATCGATCAAAGGATGTGGATAATTGGATTGAAATACTGGTAACCTGTAATATCAAAGAGCTGTTTTTAGAGGTTGGCATATACACTTACAACAAGTTACCTGAAGTAGTCTTTGATGCCAAAGCTTTAAACGTGCTTAGTTTACGTGGATTTAAGCTTGAATTACCCTCGGGTGGCATAAAGTTTTCATCTTTGCGAGAGTTATACCTTGTTGATTCATTTTTGGACGAGCAATTACTTCAAGCTCTATGCAAAATTTGTATCCATTTAGAAGTTTTGTCTTTAAGTGGATTTCATGGACTAATGAGTTTACAAGTTTCAGGAACTTTACCTAAACTAAGGACGGTAAAGTTGCTATATTGCCCTCCTAAATTCAAGATGGTTGATATTGTAGCACCTAATCTTAAAGACCTTTACATTAGCTCCTTCGGTCAGGACCTACGTGTAATTAACATAACTGCTTGCAAATCCGTAAAGCATTTGAAGCTCACTTCTGTGGCTGTCACTGACCAATGGTTAGAGGACCTTTTCTCCAATCTATCTAACCTTGAAATCTGTTACTTATTTTCTTGTTCGTCGTTGAAGATTATTAAGATTTCAAGCTACCGGCTTAAGCTTCTGAAAGTAGTCGCGTGCTATAATCTGATTGCGATTGATCTGGATACACCTAACTTATTAAGAATCACTTCTGATGTTCGTCATGGAAAAGAGGAACTCTTGTTCAAACTGAAAGCTTCGCAATTGCTGGAAGCTAAGATCAAATTGATTCCAGGTCCAGAAGACCTTGACACTCATTGGTACTCTAAGCTCGCGAATTCTCTTGTTAACTTTAATCATTCCAGGGCTATTACACTAAGCTGCGACGAAGACAAGGTACGTGCAGCGAATTGTCTACTTGCCCTGCCTGAAGAAGCAGTTCTGAATTTCTCATAATTCTTCTTTTTGCTTGTGCAGGTGATAGTTATACCAAAAGACATGAGAGAAAACTTGTTTCCTCCACTCTCTGGTCCTAAGGGTTTGCACATTAAAATTATGGATCGGTCGAATTATTCAGTTGTGGACGTTGTTGATAGTTTGCTTTGGATGTCTCCTCAACTGGACATCTTATCTGTTGACCAGGGTCGAGACTTAAAGAGCGTGATCAAGGTAATATGCTTTATCTTTCAAAGGCACTGACTTTGTAACATGTATAAAAAGAATAGTGGTTCTTGCACCCTTGTTCTTTATGTAAGGTTTTCTTGCAATTAGTTTCCTTTTTTCCATGCCTTTTGATTCTTTATTTTAGTAACAAAGCCTCCATACTTTGTTTAACATCATTTGTTTACCTAACAGTTCAACTATCAGCAGATTAGTCGACACCAAAAAGTTAGTCAACCAACATATGCGAAATTGTAATTTACCTACAGACGAGTAATTTTGAGCCTGTTATGATTAGTGAAGTTACAAGATTCTTGTAGGCTACTACTATCTTTTACCGATCAAGAAAAGCCTCTTGTAAGCTATAAAAAGTTTCTATATAAACAATTCCTCTCCAAAATATTTGAGAACATATTGATTTGTTGACTGGTTGATCTGTGAACAGTTGGACAAAGTTCTCTGTGCTCTGTCAACTTCAAGAAATAGTATAAACACAAGGATTTAATTCATAATATAGGGAAAGAAGGGACAAAAGTTCACACGCTGATACATGACACATTGACCTCTTATCTGCTCAAACTGAACATTCGTTTGGTATACTTAATTGGATGAAGATTCCCCTTCTCCTCACTTGTTTCCTCTTTTTCTTCTTTAGCCCCAGGATTCGGGGGCGGGGTGGGGGATTTTCGCACTATTTATAAGCTGATACCAAAGAGGTTTAACCGTTTGTATATTCGTTTCATGGTTGATTGTTCATGAACACATTTATTACCTTTGTTCCTGTTGTGTTTTTCTGGTTTTGTAGTTTACATACAGAGATGAAGATGAAGCTGATGATGAAGACGAGAAACCTTGTTGTGCATCTCTACCTTGGAAATGTTGGAAGCATGAGTTAAAGAAAGTTAAATTGCAGAACTTTACATGTACGGAGCTAGAGAAGCTGAGAAACTATTTTCTCTCAAATACAGATATATTGGAGAAGATAATTGAAGATCCACCATAATGCAGCCTTTTTACTTCAGTTCAGTAGATTTACTTTAACTAAGTTTCCATGGTTCCTTATGTGTAGTTGCATCTAGCTAATTTTAGGTTTTGAATAAATTTGCTACTGTACTAGGAGCAGGTTGTGTACTCGCCGATCATGGGCGATCTCTCTTGGGACGTTTGTTTGCAATGACATTGTTTTTTTTTTTCTTCTTGTTTTTGGATTTGAAGTTTCAAACTTTAAGCACATTATCCTAGACATTACTTTGAAGTTCATATATTTGTGATCTCATTGATCAGCATTAGTGAGTATCATGTTTTTTTTTTGAGTGCTAATAGGATTTTTTATATTACTTACTAAACGGAGTTTAACATATTACAGGCCATATTGCCACTAGAGGTGTCATTGGGGCTATATATCCCCGCAGACAAACAGCTATTGTCACTTACAATATTTTGATTTCCTAGAGTTCTAAGCATATTACAAACTGAGATAGGTAGTAATTTTGAAGAGTTGCATTCCCCGCTCATATCCTTGATAAGTTGTTGTTTCACAAAAAATGGCAGTTTAGCAAACAGTTTTGTTCTTCCCGGTTTATATTGTTTGTTTTCTTTGTTTTTTGCTTCTTTCGCTAGAGCATCAGCAACTGCATTTCCTTGTCTGAAATTATGTCGTAGTAGAAGGCCCTTCTCCTGGCGCATTAATGACCTGCAAGAGTAAATCAGATTAGCTAGTACCTCGTGTCCATTGTTAATAGCATTTATCACCTCCGTTGAGTCCGTTTCTACTTCCAATGGGAATAGATCAATCCTTGTCGCCAATTGTAGCCCCCCGATAGCCTGCAGTTCAATATGTAAAGGAAATAGGCCATTACAGTATTTATGGAATCCTAATATCCATTTCCCTGTATTGTCTCTAAATACTCCACCTAAACCACTTTTTAATTTTTCGAATGCTCCGTCTATGTTGAGTTTTATCCATCCTTTCTGCGGAGCATGCCATTTTATTTGAATAATTGTGTTGGTCTGAGTGGTAGTGTTTTTGGATGTCATGAAGTGGAATTCTAGGGAATGATTTAATATTTTGTTTATGGACGGGTGGAGTTTTGTGTTGTTGGTGTTGTTGTTATTCCTATTGATCCATATTCCCCATATTAGAAAAGGAAAGAGATCTGGCCAGTCAATGTAGGGTGATTCAAAATTTGGCCTAAGATTTTTGATATGGAGGAGCCAGTGGTGTGTGATGGTTGTTGGTAGATTTTTAATTCCTAGTTTTTCCCAAAGAGGTTGAACTAGGGGACATCGAATGAAGATGAGGACAATGGACTCTCCCTCTTTGTGACACATAGGGCATTTGCTATCAATATTAATGCCAATGTGCTGTAGGTATTCGCGGCAAGGTAGTATGTTATGGAGACATTGCCAAAGGAGAAATTTTATTTTGTTGGGGCATTTCAATTTCCAAATCCACATGAAGTCGTATTGAGGGTTGTTGGTATTATTGATAATGTTAGGACAAGATTTGCTGGTGAAGCAACCATTGGTGTTGAGGCTCCAAATTGGTGTATCATTGTTCCCAGATTTTAATGGCATAGGGATTTGATCTATTTTGATCTTAATATCCATGGGAATATCAAAAGAAATTTTTGTTAGGTCCCATTGACCATTAGAAAGAATATCTTTAACCTTGGTGTTTGACTCTCTTCTGCTAAGGGGCCCTTCAATGCATTGTCTTAGTGGTTGAAGGTTTGGTATCCATTTTGAAAACCAAAACTGAAGGTTCGAATTTTTGCTGGGTTGCCACGTGATACCTTTTGAGCAAATCATCCACCCTTTGAGAATACTTTTCCAAATGGAGGTGGTGGAGATTTTTGGTTTTTTACTGGTATATTTGAAGATGAGGAGCTTCGACCATATAGCCGTGGGGTTTGTGAGCAGCCTCCAAGCAAGATTGCTTAAGGTAGTTATGTTCTTGGTGTTGGCTGTTTTTAAGCCAAGGCCACCTTCTTCTTTTTGTTTTGGTAATATTAATCCAACTCACATAGTGGAGTTTCTTGGTTTCATTAGTGGATCCCCAGATAAAATTGTGTTGGATACGATCGATTTGTTTGAGAGTTTTTGTAGGAAGATGAGTGTATTGCATGGCATGACTAGGAATTGAGTTTAGGGTGGAGATCGCCAGGGTTGTTCTGCCAGCTATATTGAGAAAGTTAGCTTTCCAGGCAGTCAACTTCCTTTGCATATTATCAATAATGAATTGGTAGTCCCTTGGTTTTGGGTGATTCTGAAGAATTGAAAATCCTAAGTATTTCCCAAAAGTGTTGCTAATGTTGATGTTGAAATTGTTTGCTACTTCTTTGGCTAAATTTAGAGGACAGTTTTTTGATAGAATGATCTTTGATTTTTGGAGGTTGATATTTTGGCCCGATAATTTGCAGAAGAGAGAAAGGTTATTTTTGATGGCCATTATGCGACCGCAGAACCACTCTGCGGACCGCATAATGGCCGCAGAGTGGGCAGTTGATTGGGTCAGTTGGAAGCAACTATGCGGTCGACTATGTGACCGCATAACTGTTATGAGGTGCATTATGCGACCGCATAACAGTTATGCGGACCGCATAGTGACCGCATATACAGGCAGTTCTTTTGGCTATTTTGTAACCAAATATGCGACCGATATGCGGTCCGCATATCGGTTATGCGATCGCATACCTTGTTCCGGAGCTCCATTTTTGGGTTTTTAAAACCTGATCCTATTTCGTTAAATACACTCTTTGGGCCATTTTTGAGACATAATCTGATATTTTAGAGTGAGAGAGAGTGTCCTAGAGTGAGAATGTGCTCTTCAATTCTTGCTCAAGTTTTGGAAGATTAAGAAGGCAAGCTCACTAGGTCTTTATCCTATAGGTAAGACTCTACACCCTAAACCCTAATTTCGAAATCATCTGAAAATGGGTAATTAACAAGATAATTTTTGGGCATGAGAGTTGATTATTTTACATGCATGTGATATCAAGGAGTGTAGGAAGATTGTTGAACTAAGCATGATAAAGAATGGGTTGTGGGATGATGGAATCCTCCATAAAAGGGACCTTGAAACCTTGTGCACACCTAGTGTTTGATAAAATACTCAAATGAGCTAGAACCATGATCATCTTCCTCATTTTAATTCAATTTATTATATTTCTACAATAGATTGAAGTTGCTAAGAATTTCGGAACATTTAGAGTGTAAGGAAGCTCAAGTGAGGTATGTTGGCTAAACTCTTCTCTTAGAATTGAATCCCACGATATTCATGTAAATTATGTAAGTCCCGAGTAATTCATTATGAAATTGGGTATTCCGAGTAAGATTGGGTTGAAAGATATATGTTCAACAAGCATCCCAAATGCTTTATTCATGTTATGTTACCAATTGAGGATGTATTAAAATATGGGTTGTGCATTAATAATGTTTCGACTTTAAGTCAAGTGTAAATGAAGGCTATTATGCCAAATTTTGTGAAATATCTCTATGTGCCTTAGATTCTAAATTGCTCACATGTGTACTACACACCTTGATTTGAATTGTACTTGTTGTTGATGATGATAATGATGTTTGAAATTAATAAGGTGAGCATGAAATACTGAATATGGCCAACGTGCCAAGAATGATCTTATAATTATGGCCACTAGTGCCAATAAAATGAAAAGATGTGAAAGTATTATGAAATGCGATGATTGATATAAAAAGGTTGATGTCTCAAATAAGACGACCTAGCCGATCAGGTCGTGATCGGACTTCGTACTAAATTTACGGTGGTATTGGTATTGATAGTAATTATGGTTGATATCTCTAATGAGATAGCCTAGTCGATCGGGTCATGATCGGACTCCGTACTAAATTTACGGTGGTATTGGTATTTATAGTAATTATAGTTGATGTCTCTAATGAGATGGCCTAACCGACCGGATCGTGATCGGACTCCGTACTAAATTTACGTTAGTAATGATATTGACAGTAATTGTGGTTGATTCTCTAATGAGATAGCCTAGCCGATCAGGTCGTGATCGGACTCCGTACTAAATTTACGGTGGTATTAGTATTGATAGTAATTGTGGTTGATTCTCTAATGAGATAGCCTAGCCGATCGGGTCGTGATCGGACTCTGTGCTAAAAGTACGGTGGCATTGGTATTGTGAACAATTGTATATTGATACTAAAAATTTCCCAATGTGAGATATGAAAATTAATTTGAACACTGTCTTGATCCTAAATTAAGGTTTGATATTGATTAAGACTTTCATTGATATTATGATAATTTTGTTGTATTATTTGTCATTTTATTGAGAGGGTATTTAGTTATACATACTAGTGCTATTCGACAGTACTAACATCCCTTTTGCCGGGGGCGCTGCATCTTTCAATGGATGCAGGTGGTTCCACAACAGGAGCTATTGGTCAGTAATAGCAGTGCACCTTCTTCCCAGCTTACTTGGTGAGCCCCACTTCATTCCGGGGTCATGAATTTTTTGTACTTGGTGTATTCCGTTTGAGGTATAGGCGGGGCCTTGTTGCCGGTATTATTATTGTACTCTTATTTATCTATAGAGGCTCCGTAGACATAGTGTGGTTTGTGTATTGGTGCTGGGGAAAGACAAACTATGTTATGTTGTGGTTGTATTACTTGTCCATTTGAGACTTTAAAAATGATGAAACTATTGGAAATGAATTGGTATTGTAGACATGAACACATTTCGTCTAATTAATAAAAATATGTATTATCTCTATTCGTGGATGAGTTTGGGTAGAATAAAATCTAACAGACTTGCTCGGTCGGGTTCACTCGGTTGAGCGCCGGTCGCGCTCCTCGATTTTGGGTGTTGCGGAAGCCAAATGTATATAGTGTGAATGAGTCACAACTACTATACCAAAAATTATGACAACCACTAAATAATAAACAAGACAATAAGATAACAATAAAAGAACACCAGAATTTATGAGGTTCGGCCAATTTTGCCTACTTTTTCGGACACAATCAATATTTTATTCTACTCCAAAATTACAAGTGAAATAATACTAAAGAGAGAAAATACAAATGCCTTAAGAAGATAAAAAAGGCAAATGAGAGGTGTGCCTAAATCCTAAACATTAGGCCTCCTTTTATAGGGTGAAATTCCCATTCAAAATTGTCATCCACCGATGTGGGACTTTTGACAATTTCAACAAA